GCATGTATATAAGTGCACCTGTGTTGTACAACACCCCCCAGAGGTCAGAAGAAGGCATCAGATCCCCTGGAACTGGAGTTATGGACAGTTGTTAGCTGCCATGTGGGAGCTGGGAACTGAACCCAGGCCCTTTGTAAGAGCAATCAGTACTCTTAACTACTGAGCCATCTCTCCAGGTCCTAGTGTTGGGATTATAGGCATGAGTCTGGCTAGGGCTGTTCTTTTCCTGTTGTCTCTGATGAGGCTGGCTTCTTCAAGCAAGGGGGAGAGATGCCAAGTACCTCCTCATTCTAAGGACAGCTACTAGGCATATACCCTAGACTCTAAGTGAATCTAGAGAATTCCAGGGGTTCATCAGCTTCGTGTACTGCCCATAGTTTTCCCTCTTCTGTCACCAAAGAATGGGCAGGAATGAAGTAAACAGCTTTCCAAGAGAATCTTCCCTAGACACTAGGAAACCTCCTACAGAGAAAAACAGGCCTCCCATTTCCCCATGAGCATCTGTTAATTCAGCTCGAGCAGAAGGGGAACTAGAGTGATGGCAGAAGTCAAGCAGGTCCTGCATTCCTTCACAAACATTATCATCATCAAACAAACATTATTATCATCAGACATCAAACATCATCATTAGCAAACATACCGAGTGCCTTCCACGCCAGGCACTAGGGTACTGGTTGGAGGCACAGTGAACAAAACAGGCTCCAATCCCTTGTCTTACTGGAGGTTTACCCTTATGAAGGGAGACAGCCAAAACTAGGTATGTAAGATACTCACGGTAACAAGGCTAAGGAGAAAAACAGGCAGAGACAGGGATGGGAAGTATTAGGGGTGGGGAGAGGAAATGCAATTTTGAGAACGAGGAGAGAGAAAACGGTAAGGGGAGGTCTGAAAGAGATTAGGCTCCTGTGCATGTGGCCCTGGCCACAGGTCAGGCCTGGGCTTGGGGAGGGAGAAACACTGGATTAGATAAACTGAGGCGTCAAGTTGGAATGGGATGCTAATAGCTGAAGACAGCCGGGAAGGCAATGAATCCATTTATGTCATTACGGGGCAGAGAGGAAGAATCCACAGAGAATGGAGAGAAATTGGTTGCACATAAAATATCATTTTAATGCTTTACTAGTTTAGACTTGTTGATAAACTAGTAACATAGATATAATTTATATTTCTGCATATATATTTATATATATTTTCAGACAACTTAGACATAGAGACCGTAAGTCATATAGCTCCCACTGCCTGTGACTTCAATGTCTTATCTCCAAATGCAGCTGCTGCTTAGTGAGGCTGTATGTAATGGGAGAAATCTAACTTAAAATATTTAAAGCAAGTGAAAAACTGATAATACAAAGTGCCATGGTTTGAATAGGTGAAATATAAAAGAACATACCTAATAAATATTCCATGCCTTGGGCTGACTGAATAACTTCTGTACAAACAGCACTGCTACTAATTCCATTTAAGGTGTCATTTGCCTTCTTAATGACCTACAAGAAATGAAGGTCACATCTTATACAACCAGGAAAGGTCACTGCAAATCAATTTCCTATTAGTAGAAAACCCAACAAGTGTGAAAACCCATGCCTGACTGATGCATGTATGTGCCTATGCTGAGACAAATCTGAGAATTTTAACCTTCAAGAAACCACCCTCTACTCCTTTGGAAGAGAAAAAAAAAGAGAGGTTCTTTAGTTTGAATATTATTTTCATGTGAGTCAAAGGTAATGATATCCACTTTGCTGGGTTTTCTTTCTTGTTTGTTTGTTTTTGAGACAGGGTCTCCCCATAGCCTGGAACTCCTTATGTAGACCAGGCTGGCCTCACTCTCACAGAAATTCACCTGCCTTTATCTCCTGTGTGCTGGGATTAAAGGCATGCACCACTATGTCTGGCTTTCTTTACCTTTTTCTAAGCACAGTGACAGACAGGGCACAGCTGACAAGTGAGCCAGCATAGGCTACTGTAAACATGAACCATATGACTTTCATGTTGTGCATGGCCATGGAAGTAAGGTACTGTCAAGCTCCATCCACTCAAAGAAACCAAGACAATGTATAAGCGAGCATGCAGATGCATCAATGTGACATACTCACATCCAAGGCGCTCCCCAGGCACCTCTGCCATTCATACGCATATCTCTCATTTTCCTGCAGATTTTATAAAAAGAACTGGGTTAAACGGGCAGACCTAGGAGCCTCTGCTTATGACTTCCATCAATAAAAAGAGCTTGGAAGATTTCTTTCTACTGAAAACATTCTTGCAAAAACATTTCATTTTGAACCCACCAATAATTGTTTTAAATTACTAATAAATGTAACTTCTAGGCACATTATTTATGAACTTGAAGGACCTATTTTATTGCAGCCTCCCCCTGTAAATGTTGCCTCATTTGTTCTGGTAACAGTGTAGGCTTTTAGCCAAAGGTATCATCACTGTGGAGGTATCTAGTACACAAGTTGGTATCAACCTGCAGCTTTCCATTTCAGTCTCTCTCTCTCTCTCTCTTTTTCCTCTCTCTCTTTTTCCTCTCTTTTTCTTCTCTCTCTCTCTCCCTCTTTTTCCTCTCTCTCTCTCTCTCTCTCTCTCTCTCTCTCTCTCTCTCTCTCATGTGTATGTAACAAGGAGCAGGGATGTGAAACTGTGTTGGCCACAGATGGAACTAAGATGCCACAAACAAATGGTTTCCTCTTTATTCTGATGTTTGAAACCTCAGAAGGATGATAAAATGTAAAATTTCTAAAGGAATTCCTTAAATATGTCTCTACTCATAAAGTCCCACGAATAATCCTGCTACCATACACAGGAGGTATTTTCAGCCTGCCTTAACATTACCAGCCTCTTAGCATCAAGCCTCTAGCTGGAATTTTCTTTTGCCACGTGGTGCTTGCTGTCTCCCCTGTTATTTCCCCGGGTGAAAGTGGAAAGCATTTTTTCTTGGGGTCCTCAGAGCTCTTGTGGTCTTTTACCTGCTCCTCTGTAGGAAGCTACCCAGCTTACCTCCACCTCGCCTGTCAGATCTTTGTACTTGTCACGGATGACAGGCAGAGCAGGCTTCTCACTCAGAGTGTTGGAACGATCCCTGAAAGGCTGCTCAAGGGCTGGAGAAGGAGAGGACCGGCTTATTTCTTTATCCCCAAGGCTCAAGCTTCTCTTGTGTGATCCTAGAAGGAAGGGACAGTAAAGGTTCTGGTTACTCAGTGGAGTTCAAGCAGAAGCTCCTTCTTTCACAGAGGTCATGTCAGGAGTCATTCAGAAACAAGCCTTCACTCACTCTTTCTGGAAAGCTTTCCCTTGACTCCTCTTCTCTATTGCTTTGTTTGCCTACCTTTAATTTCCTCCATTACTCTTCTCTGATCTATCGCAATACTACCTAATCCCAGGGACAGAATCACTGGTGTCTAGATGCAAAAGTACCTTTTTAAATGTGTACACAGTAGCAGTATGGGCTTGCATCTGCCTCCCTGCTCTCAGTCCAGCTGAAGGCCAGGCTCTGTCAGATCCAGAGCCTCAGGAACAGAAGTGAGGGTCACGATGAAGAGGAGGGGAGAAAGAAGTAGCAGAGATTCTGACAAATTGGGAGGCCCCCGCTAATCTCCAAGGTATATTCCTGTTCAGTTCCAGCTGACTGTCAAGATATGGGAATGCAGGCCTTGCACTGCCAGAGATAACGACTTTTTAAGAAAAACTAAAAGTTCAGACTGAGCAATCTCACAATTTGTAAATACCCACTATTGTCTGATGTTTTATAGATCAATCAAAACATATATATATATATATATATTTTTTTTTTTTGGTTTTTTTGAGACAGGGTCTCCCAGTAGCCCCAGCTGGCCTGGAACTCACTATGTAGACCAGGTGGCCTTGAACTCACAGAGATTTGCCTGCCTTTCCCTCCTGAGTGCTGAGATTAAAGGCATGTACCACCATGCCTGGCAAAAACCAATTTTTAAAAAATTTTTATTTTTTAAGAATTATGTGTGTATGTATGTACACATACACACATAAGTGCAGGTGCCTGTGGAGGCAAGAGGCATCAGATCTCCCTGGAGCTGGAGTTACAGGAAGTTGTGAGTTGCCTGATGAGGGTGCTGGGAACCAAACTTGGGTCTTAATACCACATCTTTAAAAATGCACTCATGGGTCAGTGAGATGGCTCAATGGTAAAGGATCTTATTGCCAAGCCTGATGACTTTGGGACCCACATGGTATAAGGACAGAACTGACTCCTACAAGCTGCCCTCTGACCTCCATATGCACACCCTAGCATGCATGCCCACACACGTACATACATGTATATGTATGTATACCTACACAAACACACAAATAAATAAACATAAAGATAAGTAAATAAATAAAAATGTGTTCAGTGCCAGACATGGTGGTACATATGCACTTAAGAGGTCTAGGGTAAGAGTATCAAATGTTCAAGGTTAACTAGTGCTATATAGTGGGTAGGGGGCCAGCCTGGACTACATGAATGAGAGCCTGTCAAAACAAACAAAGCAAATAACAGCAACAACAAAAACAGACAAACAAAAACTAGATCTGTGGTCTGCATGTGGATCTACAGTCACACTGTGCCTGGGAGCAGGAGCAGAGCTATATGCCCTCAAGTGCTCAGATCCATCTGAGCTATTTTATACAGCACACTTCTAGGCAAACAAGCTAGTGGAGAATAAGGATAGCCACATGCTCTGCCCATTTTCAGTCCAATAAGCAGCTTTCTGAGGGACAGAGACTGGACTTTGGTTCTGCATCAGGGAAACCTTTATTATAGCTATCTCTAATTGACCCTGTATTCAAAAGGTGGACAATCTATTGCCTGTTAAACAAAGGAATCACCATTTTATTTTATTTTATTTTTTTTTTGGTCTTTTTGCGACAGGGTCTCCCTGTAGCCCCAGCTGTCCTGGAACTCACTATGTAGACCAGGCTGGCCTTGAACTCACAGAGATCCACCTGTCTCTGCCTCCCGAGTGCTGGGATTAAAGGCGTGTACCACCATGTCCAGCATCCATTTTATTTTTTTTATTTCCATTTAATTTTTAGTTCTTGAGACAGTGTCTCACAATGTGGGCCAGGCTAACATGAAGCATCCTATATAACCCAGGCTGACTTCAAACTCATGATCCTCCTATCTCACTCTCCCAATCCATCATTTTATTGCAAGAAAAACTGTCTACCAGATCAGTGGAACAAACCTACAAGATAAAATCTACTTCAAAGGTACTCACCTTGAACAGAAAGGTCAAAGGTTGCCAGCTCACTTTTGATCATTTCTTCACTGGATTTCATTTTGCTTTGTGAATTGGCTACTAAAAAGTCAAATTTGCTGATTTTGGGCTTTTCACTCTGAAACTCCCCAAAGTCATCAGCACATTCTTTGGGGGTTTCATGAGAGGCACCACTGGATGCTGGGCTTGGACACATGATCTCCTGGCTCTGTTCAGCTGCGGACAGATCCTGCCTTGGGAAATCCTGGTAGTCCCCACTTCCATATTTTTCATATTCCTTTTGTTCACTGGTCTGAGGCATGATGTCTTTAAAGCTGGCAAAGGCCGGGAAGGGAGTCTCTGGAAGAGCATCCTCACTTGCAAAGGTTGTTACTTTGGAGAGCGATGACATGGTGCTGTTTTCAGAGCTACCAAATGAGGTCTCTTTCTTTTGAAGAACTGAGGTGGCTGAGGAGGACCCACTTCCTGCTGAGAGGACAAATGGAGAGAGTTTTCTGCCCTGAGATGCATCATCCCTGTCTGACCAGTCATAGCTTGTAAGTGTGCTCACTGTAAAACTGCTACTGTAGCTTCCAAAAGTAGCATATTTTAAGTCCTCTATATCTGAAAGGGAAATAAGACCCCACAATTAGAGGCAATCTCACAAGTTAGGCAGAATGATCTCAACTCTGTGGAAGCAAAATGCCTAGCACATTTGATTAGTATTATGCTATGCTGGAGTAACTAAAGTTAGAGCTTGTACTAAAATAAAAGGAGTTGGGCTGTAGCATTTGATCTTTAAAAAAAAAATCACATTGGTCTTCAGTTGTATATTTAGTTATAAAGAATCATTTTCTTTGTGGGGCTGGAGAGATGGCTCAGCAGTTAAGAACACTGGTTGTTCTTGCAGAAGACCCGGGTTCAAATCCCAGCACCAACATGGCAGCTAACAACTGTCTGTAACTCCAGTTCCAGGGATCCGATGGCCTCTTCTGTCCTCCGAGGGCATTGCACAACATGGGTGCACTTACTTACATGCAGGCAATACACTCATACACATAAAATAAAAAAAGAATAAATATTAAAAAAGAATAATTTTCTTTGTATGTAAAAAGATAGGTTTACATAGCCATAAAAGATTCATATCACTTAATGAGTCATTCTCTCTCTCACTTTTTTTTTTTTTTTTGGTCTTTTTGAGACAGGGTCTTCCTGTAGCCCCAGCTGGCCTGGAACTCACTCACTGTGTAGACAAGGCTGGCCTTGAACTCACAGAGATCCACCTGCCTCTGCCTCTGCCTCCACACCTAGCTGAGTCATTCCCTTTTAAACTTTGAAATGGACTTATATTCCTTGCCTACAACGTATCTCCCCTCTCCTCTAGACTGTTTTGGACAATGTTCCTTTAAAGCAGTCATATGAAATGTATGTGATAAACTAGTTAAAAATTGATAGTTTCTCAAAATGAAAGTAAAATTTATGTCATCTAACTTTTAATAAATTATGAGGAACTTCTGTTTCAGGCAAAGCTGAATATGATATTTAAATTTTTTTCTATAAGATTTTAAGGAAGCAGTTACTTACCTAGTTACTATTTTGGTCAATTTGGACGTCCTATGGCTGTGATGGACTATGAGAAAACAAAAATCAACCTGATTTACTTTAGTCCTTAAAAAAAATCAGAATGACGGCACGCTTAGAGAGGTGGCTCAGCAGTTAAGAGCATCCGCTACTGGGCGTGGTGGTGTATACCTTTAATCCCAGCACTTGGGAGGCAGAGGCAGGCAGATCTTCCTGAGTTTGAGGTCAGCCTGGTCTACATAGCAAGTTCCAGGCCAGCTGGGGCTCCAGGGAGACCCTCTCTCAAAAAGGCAAAAAAAAAAAAAAAAAAAAAAAAAAGCATCTGCGGTTCTTCTGAGGACCTGAGCTCAGTTCCCAGCACCCACATCAGGTCACTTATATCCACCTGAAACTCCAGCTCCAATGCTGGAGCTCCGAAGGGATCCCATGGCCTCTTATGGCCTCTACAGGCACCCATACACACATGGCATACACTCACACAGACATGCACATATACATACAAAGAAAAAAAAACAATGAAAATTTGGGGTCCTAGTGAGCTGTTTGTGCTTCAATGATGTGCCTACCTTACTATACTCATTAAAAAAAAGACAGAGAAAGAAGTAAAGGAAATGCTGGAATAGAAGACTCACTATATTCTTAGCATACATTTAAAATAATTAAAGAGGCAGCAGAAAACAGCAGAAAGAATGTAGATTTTTAGTTTGCACAGACCTGAGTTTGACTCTGCCACTGACTTACAATGTGAACACTAGAAAACGGCTTCATTTAATGTTTTAAATTTTTTTTTAATTTTATTTTTATCTTTTATGTATATGAGTGTTTTGCCTGTATGTATGGAAGTGCACTTGTCACAGAGGCCAGAAGAGATCATTAGATCTCCTGAAACTGGAGTTACTGATGATTGTTAGCTGCCATGTAAATGCTGGGAACCAAACCCAGGTCCTCTGCAAGAGCAGCCAGTGCTGTTAACTGAGCCATCTTTCCAGCCCCCTTAAAAAACTTTTTTGAGATAGGTTCTCACTTTGTAGCTGAGACTGGCAACCCTCCTACCTCAACCTCCCAAGTGTACTTTTCTGAACCCTCCTATGCTTGTTGGTGGAATGGGGTCAAGACCATGTTTTGGAAGGGTTGTGTTAGGATAATCAGCTGTGACAATGGAAGCCCTGATCAGTTCCTGGAGAGCAATGCACTCGGGTCAGCACCAGTTATTTCTAAGTAAAAATAGTAAAGCAACTCATCATTTTAGTGATATTACTAGGTAAAGTATTTTCTGTTTTGTTAATTTTTTTCCTCCCTCCATCTCCCTACCCTCTTGCCATACTGGAGATTGAACCCAGGGCCTTGTGCATAGTAGGCAAGTGCCTTACCACTGAGCTACATCTCTAGCCCCCTGTATTTTGAATTCTGAGACTGGCTCTTGCTAACTTACATAGGCTGGCCTTGGCATTGAAATCCTCCTGCTTCAGCTTCCTGTGCGGTTGGCTTTCCTTAAAAGTTTCCAAAAAGCAAAAAAAAAAAAAAAAGAGAGAGAGAGAAGGGGGACTTTGGCGCCAACAGCGAGAAGGGTGACTTTGGCTGAGCAGCGCAGTCCACCAGGTCAAGTGAGAGGTGTTCTGCTTCATTTATTCACCATCTATGAGGCAGGAAGGCCAACTGTCCTGATAATCACATACATGAGTCATGAGGAATTAAGCTTTTTGACCCAGATGATGAAGCCAGTAGGTGACCGAACACTGGCCATTTTTCTTTCTTTCAGGGCAAAGCCACATAGTTTAGGACACATATGTAGCTCCAGACACTTCCACAGTTCTCCTACCATTATACCCCAATCACTCCCTCTAAACTGTTAGGAAAGAGCACTAAATTAATAATAAAAATGCTAGACGAAGTCAACCAGGAAAAAGGAAACATCCTTTCCTAAATGATCACATACTTTAAAATTCTGTAGAGCAAATTGTGCCCTTCATATTTGGCTTGCTTAATGAAAGGTGAAAAAAGGATTTGGTCAAAAAACATTTATAGTTTAAAATGAATGAAGCAAGCCATTAGACAAAACACTTTCCAAATCTCTTGCTGTAGTGTTTTTCCCACTCTACTTAAGAGGGACCGAAGGTGCTTAGACTTGGATGAGGTGGCATGCAATCAGGAGGTAGATACAGTTAAACACAAGACTAGTGTTTCACAGGTATAGTCAGAGGACTGTTTTACAATATAGATATATTTATTTTTAATACCCTATTAGAAGGTTCTTTTGGGAAACGATATTAGGAACTGCCCCCAGAGCCTTATCTATTAAAGGGTAGCAGTTTTCTTATGGACCAAAGATAAATTTAATGAAAAGACAGCTCAGTTCAAACACTGCAACCAAGTTGCTATGGTAATAAAAAGACCTTTTTAATGTAATTATGCACAAAGAAAGAAACTCTTTAAAAACTAGAAATGACTCATATAATCAGGTAAAAGGCATTAGAAGCAATAAGGATTATCTTAGATGAAGAGCCTTTAAGAATTTTTATAACTAAAAAGGTCCCCAATGAATTTCATTTTTATTAAAGATGATATGTATATAACATTCCACCTTCTGGAGCAACTCACAGAAATGACCAAATGACAGACTGAAAATTAAATAGAAGACTTATATGCAATTTTTTTTAAAACAGCTGGCTTGAAATTCACTCTGTGGACCAGGCTGGCCATGATCTCACAGAGATCCACCTACCTCTGCCTCCCAAGTGCTAGGACTAAAGAAAGGTGTGTGCCACCACTCCAGGCCTATGGGTTTTTTTTTTTTTAATGCAAGGTTTGAAGCTGAATTTTTTACTTTTTCTTATTTACTGGCTACAAGCAGATGAGAAGGTAATTTACTAAAGAATAATTAATTTGAACACTTAAGTACTGAAACTGACATTTTATAAGAAATATAAGATAAGGGGGTTAGAGATGGCTTGGAGGTTAAAAGCACTGGCTGCTCTTGCAGAGGACCTGGGTTTGGTTCCCAGCACCCACATGGCAGCTAACAACCATAGGTAACTCCAGTTCCAGGAGATCTGATGTCCTTTATTGGCTTCTGCAGGTATTACATGCACAAGTACATTTACATGCAGGCAAAACACTCATACACATAAAATAAAATAAATTAAAAAATTTAGGATTAAAAAATAAATGTAAGCTCTGGGCCAGGTGGTGCATGCCTTTTGTCCCAGCACTTGAGAGGCAGAGGCAAGTGGATCTCTGTGAGTTCGAGGCCAGCCTGGTCTACATAGTGAGTTCCAGGACAGCTGGGGCTACAGGGAGACCCTGTCTCAAAAAGACCAAGAACAAATAAATAACTATAAGAACACTTACATAATACTCCTAAACTTTAGCATTTATAAATAATATAAATACAGAGTATTTTTTATACAGTAAACCATTTTCTAAGAAAAATTTGGCACATCAGTTCATTGAAGTTAAGTAAAAACAAGAAAATTCTTCATTTCCTGTGTTAACTCTATTTTTGTTAAGTAATTTAGTTATTTGTATTATTACATAATGGTCTTAAAAAATATTAATGATACAGCATAAAGGACAGAAACCCAGTATGGAAAATGATGTAAAATAAGCTATTTTGTATTTTGTAATCACTAAAGTTACTATAGATGGGCTTTCAATTTGATAGTAGAAATCTGAAAATTGCAAGAGAAAAAGAAGAAAATAGAGAATGAACGCAATAAAAAAAAGAGTCACTACTGTATTTCCAGTTCCCCCAGCGAACTCCTGGACCACGCTAAGTTGAGCTGCAATTACATACATAATAAGTCAAATTGTGTACTTTAATACATGTATTTGTTTGCAACCAGGAATGTACTATGACAAAGGACAAAAGAATAAACTATACAATCCTCTCCCCATCATGGATTTGATTTCAAATCAAGACATGGATTTGCCATCTACGGTGGTGAGTAACCCTATCAGGCTCCTCTATAACCTCTATTCAAATCCCCTCTGAATGCATGCTCAACGTGAAAACATGGTATTTCCAGGCAAGGGAGCTGCCACTA